ACATGAAGCAAGCAGATAATGTGATTACATATATTGCCATTTAGAGCGATACGTTCTCAGCCGTTTTCTCAAAAACCTTTTCAAGCCCAATGATTCTGTCCCTGACTTAACAAATTCAAAAAATAGCATAAAAACGGATGTCTTATTCGCGTCACTTCAGTTCGTTCATACACTGCAAAACATTTGTTTTAACATTTTCTTATTTCGCTTCTAGCGTCATTCGTATACTAGCCAATCGATGTTTTATGAACTGTGCGATAGCTAACACCTCATTTTACCAAGAAACCCATAGCACAGAGTACCTCCACACACATTAAAAAAGAATTGTTATAAAGAAATGTTCTATGGATAAGGAGTTTTAAATTATAAATCAGCATTCTACATGAATTTCTGATTCCATCGCTGCTATGATACTGAGTTTTGGAACGTATTGGAAAGCTGATCATAATTATAAAGTTGTTTCGACCTTCACTTCATTCCTTGACTCCAAAATACTTTATTAAAGTGCTCTGCGAACTTTAAACCTAAATTTTTGATTCAAATTGTTGATTCAGATATGCCCAACTTCGAGAACGAACGTATTTAAATATTATACTCAGAAACAATATAAAACAACACAGAGTCGCAAAGTTGTAAATCCTCATTTATTACATTCTTACTCCGATAGGAATGTGCTAGTTAGACTGCTCTGGAATCTTGGGAACCTCTGCGTGAATCAGTAGTAAGCTAGCCAACAACACATGACCCAGGCTATTTCCAGCTCGATCGCTGAAACCGCTTTGCGGCTCCTGTTGGCTTAAATATCCTTAAAGACCTCTCAAGTTGGGTTATTATTAAGTCCAATTTTTCTCAAATTGTCATTTTTATTTCTTCCGGCTCCAACTGAACCTATCAAAAACCTTTTCGGCGTGTTTGATTGTTGGTCGCACAATATGATTATAAAAGTAAGTTGACAATAAGGGTTATAGCTACGGCTTACACTGTTTAAAAAAAGAACGAAAAAGCTTGTGTTAGGTTGCATAGATGCGAAGAAACGAAACAAAATGAAGTTCGCAATTTCAGGAATATGGTGTGTAATGGAATTTAGAGTGAGCATTTGTTTGATGCTGCTTAACTACAACTCTTCGTTTTCAAGGTGGACAGATTCAGTTTTGGTAGCTACGAGTACCAATATGGTACAGATGCAATATCCGACACAACATCATCATTCATTGGATTTACATCATCTAGCATGCTGGAAGCTGTCGTAAATCACGCTAATGCTACGGTCGGCAAATTCGAAAAGTTTCTAAACTATAGCTCTTTGTTTTCTTTCCTATTAACATACGCATTTAGTGTTACAGCACCAGTAAGCTAAATATTTTCAGTACATCGAGAAGTACGACCTATACTCAATCAATTGCGACACTACCGTCACAGCTGCTCTGACATTTGGTGAAGAGAAGCTTCCCATAGAGACAAAGAACCTTATCATCAGAATCAAGGATGATTTTTGCATTTTAGCAGTTAAACTATACAACTCCTTCTGGAGTGCAACTTATATACTTGGCACCCCCTTCATAAGGGAGTACTGTCACATATATGATATGGGCAAAC